ATGTCACAATATGGATGGTTTTGAGCTGCTTGGCTGGGCTGGTTGAAACTAGCCTGTTCAGCATGCTGAGAAGCAGATAAGCTGTGTGATTTTATCTACCAAGTAAAAGGGCAAAAAGATACCAACAGTCCTGCTGGCCAAGGAGCCTGGTGTTCAGGACTGAGCAAACAGACAAGAGAAGGGACAGCCAGAGCCAGGCACCACTGGGCGTGGTGTGCAGCCCTGGGCAAAAGGAACAGAGCAGGGAAGCTGTCTAAGAGACAGCAGCTTCCATGATGAGCACAGCAAGGACCATATGCTCTAAGACTGAGTGTAATCTTGGTAGGCTGAACTTCCCTCTGTAAAAGAGAAATATTAGGCCTTCTTGAGGGCAATTTAGCATCCAGATGTGTCCTCTGCTCTGAATCACTATCTATAAGAGCCTCTCTCTCTCCATGGACCATAGAAATAACACACAGAAACTGATCTCCCAAACATGAACTTGTATAACTATTCCTTCAGTGGCTGATGCCTAACAACAAAATGGAGTAGCAGGAGAGTAAAAGCTCTCCAAGATTGCACACTTATCTGTGGCCATGGCAGATAGGACCCAGCTAGCTCTCACAACACAGCTAGCTCCGTTTTTCTGCTGTGTAAGAAATAGATGTCTGTGGTGGTATTAATTTACTCTTGCTGTGGGCCATTTTACAACTTCTTTTAGTGTGGGAAGAAACGGCAAGGTTTGCTTATCTGAGCTCCGTCCTCTTTCTTGTCAGCTATTCCCATGTACTGGTAGCCCTACACACTGCTAATTCTCACTTTGATGCTTGATACACTAAAGCAGGGGCAGCAGAGCAAAAGCTGTCTCTAAGTGGCTCGGTTTCCTGGCCGCACTATGCAATTTTGAGCTCTTTGGAAATGTGCTGCAAAGCAGATGAAAGAGTTGTATTTTATAGATAATCAGATTTGGCTCCTAAGAGGTAAAACACCTGTTCTGACTTCCCTAGGGCTGTCCTGGATTTGTAGTGGTGAAGGGAAGAGAAGACTCTGACCTTCTGGTTTTGGGAGGGAAGGGACTAGGGTGAGTGAGAAGCTGGTTTCTTAGCCAACAGCAGAATGCCTTCTTCGCATCTAGTAGAAGCATCTGGGTAAGAAGGATCTAAACTGCTAATATGTAGCCAAAATGTCTTTGGGGTAGTTAATGAAGTCAGCAGGCCCTCGGCATGTTACTATGAAGATTTTCTTCAGTCCTCACAAATCCAAAGAACAAAAGGGACAAAAGGTCTTGTCAGACCATGTTTCCCACCTTACCTGCCTTATCCCATGTAGCCCTCTACAGCTGTGTTGCCTTTTTGGATTGACTGAAGACACTCTGATGATATGCCACCTATCTTTCTTTAAAAGTTCCATAGTTTTTGATGTAATTTCCCCCACTGCACTATCCTTCCTCCTAGCCTTGCTGTTCCACCTAGGATGAATTCTAACAATACATGAGAATAAACAGCTACATTTCTTTTTCCTCTTCTCTTTCATTAAACAGAAATGAGCCTGTGTAGGAGAAATGACCATTGCTTTGTATGCAGTCAGCACATGGAATAAGCTGGGTCCAAAACCTGCAGCACAGTTACAGAAGTTGTTCCTGAGTGTCCCCTAGTAGGTGTCCTGGGCTCCCTTTCAGCTTCCAGACTCGTTAAGAAATGACATACAAAGAGCTCGTTGACTGTAAACTTACTATTTGGTCTACTTCAGTAGAAGTCAGTTGTGGTCAACAAGAAGAGCCCTATTGCACCTTATGTTATTTGCTAAGCCCAAAGATAATGCATGTCATGGAGAACATGTTTTGAACTCTTGAGGACCTAATTCCTTTGCTACTCACTATTTCTAGCAGCAGGTTTCAAAGTACCTTATAAAGATTACCCTAGCTTTCCAGGGAGGCAAGCCAAGTCATCACCAGGAGTGGTGGATAGACCAGCTGAAGGTCCTCAGCTGCAGAAGCAGGAATATAACTCGTTTGCCATCTCCTTTACCAAACTGCATCAGCAAGAACCACAATAGGAGCCATCTGAAAGCTGGAGAGAAGCAGCTATGTTCATCTCTTTTGTCATCTGACCATTCTAATATCTTTAGGGAAACATCACATGATTGCTCATGCAAAGTCTGTATGTGAAGCCTGATGGGGAAACCGTCAAGGTGTGCCTTGGAGGGGAGCAGAGGCAAACACTCCTTAGAGAAGTACACAGAAGTCAAAAGGCATTAGGAAAAGTAAGTCCGATGGGCTGGGTGGAAGGTTTAGATGTTATCAAACTTGCCTGACTTGTTTTGGAAGCATTTCTTATTTTCTACATGTGATTTTTGTCCACTTAACCCCTTCAGCAGAAATTTTGTTCCCAATGGCTTTTGTTTCTGCTCTGAATGGCTGAGATGCTGGATGAGGAAGGCCAATATTTGTTTGGTTATGCTTACCCTCATTAATTTTTATTGGCTTTCCGAGGACTTACTTAACTATCAGCTTAGCTCTGTTGGACAGATGACTTTTTAATTAATTTCATTGCTCATTTGATGCCTACTTTCACACTTGTACCTCCATTACGCAGTCATGCTTTAAGTCATGCCCTGTATTGAGAGACTTGCTGGATACTTGGGTTCCAGGTGAAGTCATTGCCTCCTTTTCATTCACCCCATAAGCTCCAGCTGTAGCCAGGTCAAAAACAGACAAAAAAAACCAAAAAACCCACAAAAGCTTTTTGGAAAAACTGTAAATGCCCTACTGAATTTGCAATGTCAATAGCAAAATAATTCAAAATATCCTGTGTAAAAACAATAAAGTAATGGATCAGCCACTGGATCTACTTCCCTCCAGAGCTATTTAAGTTTGGGACAAATAATTTTATGTGACTTAAAGTGCTGCATCGTCTATCTCAAATCACTTTTCAGGCCTAAAGTTTAACTTGCAGGAAAAATCTGGAATATCTGCACTGCATACCTCTCTAGATTTACCTCTGTGAAAAAGAGATGAGCATTTGGCCCTAGAAAATGTGACCATACACATCATCAGTATGGTTGATATAGGGGGGGATCATGTGCAAGTCAGACATCTGCTCTGAGATCGTGAATTTCGCATGAAGAACACTTCACAATTCTAAAGCAATTTTCACTACTTTTTGTTTTCCATTTCATTTCATCTTTTCTTAAAATTTTCCATAATTTCACACCTATCTTGGTGTTCTTTTACTTTCTGTAACAAGTAGTATTGCTTCTCAGGACTCCCTTCCCTTTCAGTGTATGCCCAGCATCAACCCTGAAGGCGTTATATAGTACAATACAGTCCTCCCTTCTGTAGAGCCTGCCTTTGTTCATGGGAAGGATTTAAAGGGTGTTACATTCATGGGAGACACACAGCATTTCAAATATGCTGATGCCATTAACTAAGCTGACTTTTAAAACATTTTTTGTTATTAAAATAGACATGGGCACATACAAAACACAAAGAAAACCTAGTGAGCATTCTACCCGCCCTCTCCCAGGCAGAAACTGAGCATTTCCTTACACAGAAACTTCTTCCTGATTGCTCGTTTCGGCCACTTGTGCCTTGATTTCTGACTAGAGCCAAACACTTCAAAAACCTGTGGCTTACCAGAACTCGCCATCATCCAGCGCTGCCTGAGACAGGCGTCTCTGCTCTGATAGGCTGACTGAATGCCACTCTGGAGAGCTGTGAGAAAACAAAACCAATCTTTACTACAGGTGTGTGGCAATTAATTTTTCCCTGGCTCAGAACAACTGGCTGGACACAGGAGCAGGCTGTTCTTCTAGATGTGTGTTATTTGAGTGGCTCACACAAACACAGATGCACTTAAGAGGTTTCCCAAATCCTGCTGTCACTCATGGTCGCAGAGACCCAACTAACGTAGCTGGAAGCAGGACCAGGCCAGAGATCCTGAAGCTGCTGCAGTATGGTCCTGCATGAGTTATTGCCTGCACTCAGGGTTGGGACTGCTGTCAAGCGTTGAGGTTGGGTATAACAGGGCTGTTGGCAAACCTCAAGATTTTAGTTAGTCACTCCCCTCCTTAAATCTGCTTTCCATCTGTAGCATCATCTCATCTTTTATGTTTGTCAGTAATTTTGGGCCAGATGTTTCTTCAAAATTGAGTCAATGGGAACTGAATAGGCTCCTTCCCCTGTACAGAAAGATTTGCTAGAGTGACTGGCATTCCAGGTACAGCTTTTGCCTCGTTTTTGTTCATCCTTACAACTACAACTGTAGCAGGTCAAAACCAAAAACCTGCTAAAGCTTTTTTGAAAAACTGGAAATGCATTTCCAATCCGACATAATAAACAAGGAATAGCAGGCACCTTGTGTTCAAGTTTTAAATTCCAGCAACCAATGCAAAATGTTAATACAGATTCCTGTATTGACCTGCGAGCCTCTCTTCCTCTGGAGTTCCAGAAAACCTCCCAAGTGCAGAATCAGAGCTCTGCTTTGCAGAGACAGCCTTTTCAATAAACAGCATGAACTGCCAGATGCCTGTCCTGATCTTAACCTCTCTGTTCTTTTTAGATTTATTCACTCATTATATATGCCAATTATCCACATTTTTCTTTTTCAAGATAACAAAGGATCAGAGCTGATGTGGAAATATTTCATTTATTCCTGAGTCATGCTAGGGACAGGAACATTCAAAGTAGTCCTACAGATGACTACATGTCTCAGCAATTTTAAAGGACCAGGTAGGTTATGGCTCCTCTCCTCTACATCTGTGTGAATTAAAAAACTTAGCAGAAGAAAGTGAAAAAAAATTAAGCCATGCATATGTGCAAAAGTATATTGAAAAGTGTATGTTGGAGGGGAATGTAGCGTTGTTTTTTAGTTTATAGTTTTTTACTATATTTTTTTTTTATTTCGTGTTATTTGCACTTTGTTTACCTTTGGTAGTAAAAACTGCTTTTCAGACCAATCCTGTTGTGATTTTGGGTCCTTCCACAACTTTGGTGGGTACCACATGGAGAGGGTATCGTTTAATGATCATACATAAGCTGTAAGGTTCCTGTCTATTCCTGGTTTAGAAACCCAGAACAGTAAATACAACTAGAGACTCATAAGCTACTTAGAGGGGGTAATACAGTATCAGTTACCAGCTTATCTACAGTAGGACAAAGTATGGATGTTGTGTTACAAGTACTACAGCAACAGGCTTGCAAAAATAAACAAAAAAAAAATCACTCAAAAAGTATAATTTTTCCACGTACTTGTCACTCCAAGGGCCATTCCACTCGACTTGTCCCCAGGGGTTCCTTATCCTTATGAGCCGCACTTGCCGGCCCCGGTAGCTCACCTGGGGAAGAAGGAAATAGATAAAGTTCCAAGTGTCAGTAGTTGGGGAGCAGGACTTATCCAGTGTGCAGAACCTGGGCAAACTGGTGTAACAGCTGGCCAAAAGGTGTAGACTGCTACAGGAGATGTGGGAGGGGAAGATGGATGGGAATTTGGATAACTCCCCCAGGATAATTCTTCCTGTCACCTCAGGCCAGGGAAAGATCCCTTATCTTTTCCCCAGGTATCTCCTTGCCCTGTGCTGCTGAACGTACCTCATCGATGCCAGTCACAGAGTAAGCATGGCCCTTTATAAGGCCAAAGGGGGTTTTGGCTTCTGACTCGGCAGCACTGCTGGTCTGAAATATGGAAAAAAAATGTGAATCTCTTCAGAGTGAAATCACAAGTGGTGCCACTTGGTCCCTCCCAAGCATCGGTGGGAGGTCAGTGACTAGCCAGTACTATGGACAGGGAAAACGTCTGTCTGCTTGATGCAGACAGTGATGATGCAATGGTGCCCTTTGAGGAAAGGATTTTTATTTTTGTTTTAGCGTTGTTCACTCAGGGGGAAAATAAAGTGGTTCCAGGCTGAAACACCTTCTCTGCCCCTGTGATTTTGTATCAATACCATCTACATTTCCAGGATCTTAATCTCAAGTCCCATTCAAATGTAGTTTGTGTCAGCTAAGGGATGGGAAAAGGTGCTCCCAGACTGAGATCACGTGTTGATATGGCCTAATTTCTTGTAAAAAGACATTGATGGAGCAGTGATGGCAGTGAAGATACATCAGCTAGCTGAGTATCACACTCTCTCTAGTCCGTAAATATTTAATTAGTCTTTGCAAGCAGCAAAGCTTCATCAGGAGAGAAAGGGAAACTCAAATCAGGAAAAACTGAAACAGAAAGTTGAGGGTACAGTCTTGAGTAAAAGAAGGAGCTTGTGGAAAAGCCCTGCTTTCAGTCAGGCAAGCAATGGGTTTGAGACAATAGGTCTCCATCAGCCCAGCCGAATGTTCAACGATAAGGCTTTTGAGCAGAGAGCAAATGAAAGCCTCTCTCTTTATCCCCCAGCCTGGGCGCTTCCTTTGCCTTTGTTACAAGTGCCCAAAGGGAAAATGTAACATTTTGTGCTTGGTGAGATTTTTCATTTGCTCTGAAACCCTTTCCTCCAGCTGCTCATTCTGGTGGAGAAACCTGGCACACTTTTGTTTCCGAACTGCCTTTCTTGCTGAGCACAGTCAGGAAGGAACAGCAATCGGCATTTCACTCTTGCCGTTGGGCAGCTCAGGCATTTTCCACCAGAAAGCCAAGGACACATGGGTAGCTCCTTTTACCCTGGATCACACATGCTGGCAGAGCAGTGTAAGTACCCTATGCAGGTGCTACACACTGGCAGCGTTTTCTCTGGGAAAGCTGGAGCTTTCAGTCTCTGCAGGGATAAACCTGATGTACCCTAAGCCCCAGCCCCTGTTTACAAACAAACACACTATCCTGAAAATTGTCTTGAATCGCCCAGGTCCCCCACAAGTGTTGTTACAGAATTCAGGGCTGAAAGAAAACAATTTTGTAGTCTCTGGCACCAGTAAGTCCTCAAAAAGCTGTGGCCAATTTTAATGTTAAGTGACCGGTGTTCACTCTCACCAAGTGCTCATACTCACGTCATTACTGCGTTAAATAGACTGGCCATCACCCGCTGAAAAGTGATGAATATTTTTCTTTCATTTTAAACAACTGTATTAAGGACTGTGTTAATATTACATATCTATCAATTCGCAGCTATTATTTGCAGAATTAAGTGCATATCCATCTGCTTATCATTAATTTAACCAATCTTTAGAGGTAAGTCTTTTAACACAGAAACCACGAAACTAGACTGAGAAATTCAGACCCAATTTCTTACTTACATCAATAGAGCAGCCCACCATTGAGCATCTTTTCAGAGCTTTCTCTAGGATTTCATAGAAATTGTCAGGAGCCTTTTTAACCTCATACATTTCTCCTACACCCCCAGTGAAATCCTCCATGGCTTCCATTGTACTGCCTCCTTTCAGAGCCTCGTAGCTGCCGTTCAGCCTGGAAAACACATGCTGACCGTAAGACATGCTTTCAAAGCTTCGAAGATACCCATGCTTGACAGCTTTCTCACATGGACGTAAAATTGCAACAATGGCACTGAAGTCAAAAGAAGTACCCCAGAATGGACCTAGGATATATAGGAGAAGTATTGGGATCATTTTGCTTCCTTGTTAACTGCATTTTAATTCATTAATTTCTCCATGTCCTTAAAGCCTGGGGCTTTTCTTTCTTTAGAGCCAGTTGTCAGGTTGGCAAGGACTGAATATCACTGCCTGTCAGTGGCTTGCTACCTGCCAAATCATTTAAAAATACAGAGTTAGCCAGAACCATCAGTTGAAGTCTCAGCAGAGACACAAATGGCAGGATTGAGGCTTTGATCTAACTCTTTTGCTATCAGCTAGGGTTGTATCTAATGATGTGCTGGAAGCTGGACCAGCTCACAAGAGATAGACATAACATCTGTAGATCAGGGCAGCAGCAAATGCAAAAAACCCCACCACCATCAGCAAAAAATACTGGATAGAAGCTGTTCACTTAAGTTGTGAATAATTTATGTACAAACTGTGAATAATGTATGTACGAATAGCAAATCATGTATGCACAGTGTTACTTACTTGGCATAGGCTTTCTCCAGTAAGGCACTCCAAAATTCGTTGTGTTCAGCTGAGTGCAGGAAAACCAAGCGGCCTTTGAAGGTGGGTAATCGGTCATCGATCACAACATCCAGCCACTCGTTGTGCTGCCAAAACTATTTAGAAAGGATGGGGCATGAGTTTGCTGACAGCATGTCATTTCCTGAGCATAGGATTCTGTCGTCCCAGCACTTCTGTTTGTTAGTGACAATCATATGCTTGATTAGAAGTCACATGGAAATCACTCGTTCCCACTATACCATGCTAGGCTGCTCTGAAGGACGGGTAATCTATCTTAAGAAAAGACTAAGACTAAAAGTGTAGAGCTGTACTGTAGCTCCTTGTCTGGATAACATCATTCATGTAGCGACACAAGCGATCACCACGTGACTCAAGACACCTTTAAGACACACACATATTACATGTATTACAGATCCCAGTCCAACTCCTTTGAGACTTTATATCCTAAGTGGGGTTTGTGTGCCCAGGAAAATGTGAAATGATTTCTAAAGCCATATATCTCTTTACAGAGCAGAAGTGGCTATGCATGTGCCTGTGGGAGGCCGATGTAGCCCTCTAGGATGTTCCTCAAAACACGAACAAGCTCAGCAATCCCTATTTTTTCAATATTTCCCCTGTAATAACTGGCAACCCCATTGTAAAATAGACCATGACATGTAATGACCAACTGCTCAGGAATGTGTTCATGCTATGTCAGATGTTCATCTTACCTGAAAGTGAAATATTCCAGCATAATCCGGCCCAAAATCTTGATTTAGAGGCACCACTCTTGCTAATGTTTTTTCATTCAGTGTGAGAGAAGCTATGGCTGCTAATAGCCAGCAGTCACCTGTGAATTGAGAAGAGGGAAAAAAACCTTAATTTTCTTCCCTTAAGGAGGAGAAGAAAGTGGTGTAGAGGCCAGATGAGATACTATGGCAGTTAGTTGCCATCCCTCCTGAAATCCAAAAGACAGCCCGTGTGTCCCCAGGAAGTGTATCCCTGCCCAGCCAGGTCAGATTGTGTCGCAGTTTGGAGGTGCTGGTGGACAAAAGGCTCCCTTGGGCTCACAGTACCCTTGTGTGGGGATCCTGCCCTGACCTCGAATCCCACTGCACTAGGATGGTCCCTGACATGGGTGGGAGGCTGCTACCAAAGAGGTGTCTGTGGGAAAGGTGAGCATGGGCAGTATCTTCAGCTTCACTGCTCCCACCAGTTTAGGAGGGACAACATCCCCTCATCCTGCTGCTCCTCATGTGGTGTAGGCATGAATGTGTCCACTCGAGGGGAATCACTCACCAAGATCCCCTTGGCAAATGTCAGTTCTTGTAGCTCCTCCAATGATAAATTTGGGGTCTTGGACAATGTCCTGAGGGAGTGGGAGAGAGATACAGAAATGACTTTAAACATGCCAGGAAAATACTGCCACCGCTCTGAGTCCAGCACAGTGGGTGCCACATCAGCTATGTTATCCTGCAGCAGCATAGTCACCACAAAAAACTAGGTGAGGAATCTTTGCTCATTAATTATAATGTAGAGCAATTAAAGAATCAACTATCCTAATTTTTTCATAATTAGTTGGCTGCTAATGAAAGGCTGGTATTCTTTATTCATCTGTAGGCAATCGTTAAAATATCATTGCATGTCCTGGTCCAGAGTCTCAATGTTAGGATACAACCCTGGCTAAAGTTTTTTTTCATTTGTATTTCCCCCCACCTCGATGGCTGGAAAAACTAAAATTGACAATTTCCCTTTAAATGCACTATTAAGCCCTTTATTTATCTGCAGGTAATACCTGGCACATGCAGTGTCTGACAACCATAAGACTATTTCCTCGTCAAATAAGCAAACAACAAAGGTAGATTCCAGCCTTGTTTGTTTTACCAAGTTAGTTTTGAGGAGGAGCTAACACTACCCACCCTTGTGTGCTCAGAGGGACTGGTGCTCAGTGTGGCATTAAAGCAATTGTCAAGCATTCATTTGACTGTTTTGGTTCAATTACTAGTACCACAGCCAGATAGAAAAACTACAGTGGTAAACCTATAAATGTCACTGGAATTCCCCTCTTTTCTCCCCTTTCCCATGAACTGTAAATTGCATTTAATTGATTGAACTGAACGGAAAAAGGAGGAGGAGGGTATCTAATATATTACTAGAGGAATATGCTTGTAGCTGATCAGTCTGCCCTGATACGTTATTGCAGACCCTATGGCCTGAAGCAGACCCTTCCGTCTAAGCAGCAGAAGCTTGGAAGAAAAAAGAACATTAAAGAGAGGGGAAAAACAGAAGAACACATTCAGTCATTTAATCCCTGCATTTGCCTAGAAGGAAACTGAGTTGCTTTTGGTTCATATCACTGCATTTTTTGAGGCCATCAGGGCAGGACATTGATAGTTTTGTTCAGCTTCCTTCACTTATTGCTGAAGCATCTGCTGCTGGCCGCTGCTGGAGCCAGGACTCCTCAATGAACCAGCCTGCTCCTGCAAAGCTCACCCTGCAGAGGCAATACACAGGAGGAAGCTGGTTTGCGTATTTTTTGTTTGCCTTTGCTGGGGAGGAGGTGGCGGCCAGTTTGTGCCTCAGCCACAGGTACCCTAGGGAGAAGGCACTGCAGCAGTCGTGTCCCCAGAGGGAAATCAAACAGTAGCTCCTCCTTACCTGGCCTGCCTGCTTGTTAAATACACACAGTCTTGTTGGAACTGGACGTGAACAATAAAAAACGCAGCTTATTCCCTTTAGACGCAAATATAACAATGGCTGATAAAATAGCTGATCTTTAATAGTGTGCCTTGTTTCAGCATCACTGCTCCTGGAGAACAAGATTCTCACGGCAAGAACTGCATTTAGCTGTTACCAAGAAACTCCATGTGTTAACAAGGGACAAGATAAAAACCCTTTCCACTGACGTGGGTCTGAACATTAGATTCATGGCTCATTGCTTATTACACAGCTCTACAATGGACACATGGAAAAAATATTTTCAATCTCCTATGTCTAAAGTAAACAAAAATAATAATTAAAAACTCAATAAAAAGGAATTGAAAGGATTTTGACCGAACCTGTGCCACGTTCTCTGCTACACAAAAGAAAACCACACTCGACAGTTTTTGAGTGGATGTTGCAAAAATATTATTAATTTTAAAGAGATTTTCAGACTGGATGGTATAACAGCGTGTATCAGGGTTTTCAGCATGTTAAAGGACAAAACCCAGAGCTGAATCTTGCGCTCACACACAGCATACAGTAATTCAAGGATTTGCCTGCACAAGGACATTGCTTAGAAGCAGGAACATGCAAACCTCAGAAAGATGAAACAAGGCGATCCGTGACTCTCCTGATGCTACATCAAAGCTGTGTTTCTTTAGACTTAAAAGAAAATAAACTGCATCCCCTGTGCCTCTGTCCCACATTGGTAGAGGGGGTATATGGACACCTAAGAAAGGCTGAGGGTGAGGCTGTGATTACATTTCTCTGCCTGGTTCCGGCATACAATACCTGTCATACCAGCTGCTAGCAGCTGTTCATATTAGGAGAATTTCGTTCTTACTTCCTCCTGTAGACCATAGACTCATTTGGCACTGGTAAAACATATTTTGTCTTTCCCCTTTTTTTTTTTTCTTTTCATTCTTCAACTTATATGTCTAACTTTACCAGACACTGTGCTGTTCAAATTATCCCAGCAGTTGGATTTAGATAAATTAAGAAGGAGGAAAATGAAATGGAAATGGAAAGGGGAAGGGGAAGGGGAAGGGAAGGGAAGGTGGGAAATACAACAAGAAAAGGGTCATCTTTTCTTCAGATTATTCTAAAATTTTTAAAAGGTACCGTCTCAAAGGTTTAATTTGTAGCGAAAAGGTATTGCTAAACAAAATCGTTAAATATCTTTCTGATCTTAGAGCATTTAAGATATATGTAGAAGGCGAGCTACCCATCTGGTGCAGATCCATGTAGCTCACTGATTGCAGTGGGCGGTTTACAGATTAGGGTTAGCTGAGGGTCTTGTTCACACTGGGTACATATGAGTACACATACGGGTATATGCATGTCAAAATAATAAGAAAACCTTCTCTACTCTCATTACTACAGATTAAACTCTAACAGGGTGTAAATCTGAAGACTAATGTTATTTGGCCCTGCAATTACCCATGTGTATCGTGCTGCACTTCATCCGAGCTACTGTAAAACATTGGTAGCAGAGGCAGTAAAAACCAGTCACTGTGAAAAGCAGTTTGAACACAGAGACCTTACACAGAGGCCATGCTCTTCTGCTCACCCTCTCCAGCACCACGGCTTCGCCAACTGAGCTTTGGCAACTAACCTGGCACATGCTACAGGTCTATATCCCATTTGCAAAGTAACAGCGTTAACTTGAAGTGGTGTTACAGAGCCTCTATTTTGCTGCTGTTCCTGATGGGCAATGGAGATGAAACTAATTTAGCTTCAATGCTGAGGAGCCAGAGAAGAGTATGACTAAAACCCTGTCCTTACACATCCTCTCAGCCTCCCCTGAGCTTTATTTCTTGCTGTGCAGCTCACAAAAGTTCACCTTTTCGCACAGTAGGAATTGGAGTGTAAAGGCAGGACCTGTATCAAGTAACTGACTCATCCGAGAAATGTTTCCAGTTCAGCGTACGAAGATCCTGAAGAAGAGAGTGACAACTACAACAGACAGATCGCTCTTTGCTGTCCCTGGGTACCATGTACAAGGACACACAAGCTCTCGGACGCTCCTGATCATATTTTGCAGCAAGTTTAACTATTGTGAAGCCCCAGATGGGGAAAAAGATAAACTAGCACCTAACAGCTGGCCAAAGGAAAACCGTTCCATGTGTTTTAGTGTCACAGGCACTTGCATTTTTGATGCTACACAGCATTCCAGAGCCACCGCATCAAAAGCATCTCAGCCCCACAGCCCCATCCTGTGCCTGGGGGCAGCTCTACAGCCCACCTGGGTTTTGGGGCACAGGCAGGCAAGGCAGGCAGAAGTGCCTGCAGGGGCTGTGCTTACCGTGTGCAGGGATCTCCTATTTTTCATAGCTGAAACTCATACAGGAGTAATAGATTTAATTCTGCTCTGCTCTACATTAACTGATGCTGAGGCATTTGAACGCCTGTCATTGTGGATTAAGTTAAGCCAAAATTTAAACCCATCTTTAAGCCTATTTTGTTCTTTTTCTCTCTTGGTATCGCTATCACCAAAGGAAACTTCTCTGCTAAAGGAGAAGCTTTCAGGCTATAAAGAAAAAGAGAACAAACGTCAGTCATTAGCAAAGAAATGAAATATATCCACAGATTTTCTGTGGTTATTAGTTACAGAGCTAAGTGGGGAGAAAAAACCTGGAGTGACGTTGGGTTTGTGATCTGAGAGCATGTTTTTAGTGAAGCTTCAGGCTCTTTCTGTGTTATTAATGATCGTTATGCAAGATGCATTAAGAGATACTCATCAAGCCCTTGGCTACTGCTGAATGGCTCAGTGACCATGGCATGTATTCGTAATCTCTCAGTGTTTCATGATGGAAGTGAGCAAGTTAGTATATGAGTCTCTAAAAGTTAAAAGGTTTGAATTTTTAAAGTTTAAGCTTAACCATTAATTTCTTACATTAATGGCGTTTGATTTTTACATAGTTAGAACATCATCATAATGTATTTTACCCTTAATTTCTTACATGTCCTCTTGTTTTCATCTTAACATTGCTTTTGTTTGTCAATAACGTAAGAGAGAAGGCCGATTACAAGTTGTTTGTGCATGCACGTAAATATACATGCACAAAGTGTGGCTATTGAGCATGCTACATCTGAAGACTGGGGTGAAGCCTTCCAGCCCTCTCGTCCCACAGCTGGAGCCCTTTGTGGGTGACATCCCGACCCTGCGCTGCTGCCCCTGAGGTGGGAAGGGTTCCCTCCCACACTTCGCCTCCGCATCTCCTTGAACACGCCACGCGTTTGGTGCCATCCCAAAGTACCGCCACGTCTAACTTTTGGCAGGACAAACAGAGAGGAAGGCTGACCCTCCTCAACACAATGGCGTACTCACCCCGGGCCTCTTCCAGACGAAAGGAACAGGTGGCTTTTCACTGAAGAAGAGAGAAGAGTTGGAGGCGGGGAAGTCGGGGTCCTCAAAGAGGATCCCCCTGCGCAGGCACTCCTGCTTCAGCTCCTCTTAAGCCTTCCCCGAGCTGTGGGTGGCACGCGCGGCCCCGGGCAGCGCGGCTGGCCGTGGCTTCGAGTCCTGGTACACGTAGGGCATGGCTCCCGCCTGCCTGCCAGAGAGAGAACCCAGGGAGCCGAGGATGAGCAGGCAGTGAGGGGCAGAAGAGGGAGGAACAGGATGAAGAAGAAGAGGGGGAAAAATACCTCTCGTGCCTTGTGAAGGAAAAGGGGGAGGAAAGGAGCGTGCTACGGGGAAGCCGATGGCGTCCTCCAGCCCTCCTTCGTTGCGCCTCCTTGAACCGCGGTGAGATACCAACCTCCCGAACCCAGGGAGCCGAGGATGAGCAGGCAGTGAGGGGCAGAAGAGGGAGGAACAGGATGAAGAAGAAGAGGGGGAAAAATACCTCTCGTGCCTTGTGAAGGAAAAGGGGGAGGAAAGGAGCGTGCTACGGGGAAGCCGATGGCGTCCTCCAGCCCTCCTTCGTTGCGCCTCCTTGAACCGCGGTGAGATACCAACCTCCCGGCTGCTCCGCACAGCAGCCGAGACCAACACCCTGA